TCAGACCTACAGGCAGACTGAATGCTGCAGTGAGAGCTGCTCTGGCAACAGCAGGCCTCCCCACAGACGGCCTGTCATAATCACACAGAGAGTCACAGAGGCCCACCCACAGAGACAGAGCTAACGACACAGAGAATTAAACAGACAAGGAGGCTTTAACAGAGACGGGGCGAGGAGCCTGAGGAAGAGGAGGCTGAGGAAAGTCAAGCTTGCATGTGGGACGGAGACAGAAGCCCCAGCAGATGCTTGGACACTAGAGCTGGAGGACATTGATCTTGCCGAACAAACCTGAAGCATTGCTGCACCACATATGTCCCTCACAGAGCAGAGAGAGTTGGGAATCTACATAAGCTGCATTAGTGCACACACACAACTTATTAACAATATTGATTTGAACTGGCTGGCCACAGAACACCCAGAGGAAGCCTGTTTGAAGGGAATGGACAAACACACACACACACACATGCTATGGAATAGCTGAGGTGATGCATACTAAATCACCAGAGTGCTCGTCCTATTCCCACTCCCATAAATCCACACACCTGACTTAGTTACAATATGAAGATAGCAAGAGGAGGCCACTCACTCCTTAATGCAGTCAAATAACAAGCAAGTGATTGAGATGTCTCGTCTGGCACAGGCATAACATCACAGCACTCACAGCACTGACAACACAGAGAGAATAAAAGCTAGAGAATGAAAGAGAATACTTACAGGAAAAGAGAGAATTGAGTCCCCCGGGGGAAATTGGAGTGGATTTAAGATTAAATTGAGGAGAGGTGCGAGATGAGGAAGAGAGGGAAAGAGAGAGAACTTCGTAATGCGTTTAATGATGATTTCTTTCTTTCATGTTCTTTTCATATCCTTTTTTTCGTGTTTCTTTCGTCCCCCTCTCAGTCTTTTCGTGTTCCTAAAGGTGAAATGAAAGGAGCAGAAGGACCTGTGGTTCCTGTGTCCCCTTACGATAGAGACTCACCCTCTCTACCTCTGCCTTGCACTCTCTGTCCCTCTCCCCCATCCGCCCCAAAGCATCCTGGATCCTTGGTGCCAACTGTGAGCGACTGTCAAACTCTCCCCCTCCCCCTGCATGGCCTCATCTCCCCCTCCCCTCCCCTACAGCAGCCATTCACTCCCCCCTGACATCTACTGACTGACTGACTGATCCCCAGGCAGATTCAGAAAATAATACAATAAGTGCTTTTGTTTGTGTTTGTACAGTGTCAAAAGTATTCACAAATGAAGTTAGTGCAGTTGCTTAATGTGAGCGGCTGAGCTGCCACATAATGTGACGGATAGAGAAGTGAAGGCAGGATAAAGAGATGGTTTATTACGAGGCAGCGAGAAAAGCCCCGGAGTGTTTTGGACTCACATCAAATCATGTACTGCAGCAGGACTGCAGGCTCATATGCTGCTGTCAAGATACCTTTGGGTCACCCTCTTAAAGTGATTTAGTGGTGTTGGCGTGCACGTATGCATGTGTGTGTCTGAGTGTGTGCCCTCACAGAGTGTCACAGGTCACTAAATCAGTGTGCATCAGCATAAAGTTTTCAGTATGGATCAGAGCCGGAGCCGAGCAGAAAATCTGAGTTTCATTTCGCTGTTCAGGCGTCCAAAACAACCTGGGTGAACATGGAGGAGAGTGTTTGTATGTGCATGCTCTTTTACATGTGCCTGTGTGTGTGTGTGTGTGTGTGTGTGTGTGTGTGTGTGTGTGTGTGTGTGTGTGAGAGTGTGTGTGTGTGTGTGTGT